AACCCCTGAACCCGAAACCCTTAAACCCCCAAACCCCAAACCGACAGAGCCCTCAACCCCTCAACGGCCTGGTCATGACGGCAGAAAGGCTGAGTCTTCCAAAATTCGGAGGGCGGCCTGTTACAAGGACCCAAGGGCAGGGTTTAGGTTTACAGTGTAGGGTGTTTGGTTTCCAGGACTTTGAAGTTTTCGCCCGTGGCCGCCGTGTTTTCGAATTGAGGCCGTCGGGTGTGAAACTTTTGGTCTGAATGTTGCCCGCGTTTGTTGAGTGGCACTACTCTCGACTTTGAAGGGCTTTGTCGGGGTTGCAGAAGAGGTTAGAGGGGTTTGAAAGGGCTCTGTAGGTTATGGAGGTTGCCGCTGGGGCTGCGCAGGGTCAGGCTCTAGGGCGCTGGACTTGGGTCGTAATTGGTCACGAACGCATGACTCGCGCAATACCCTAGCGAGCTGTCCTGTTCATCAGGCTAGGTGATGTAGGGCTTAGAGGTTAGGTTTCTTCAGGGTCTTGGGATCAGGGATTGGTGTTCAGCGGTATTGGGATTCGCTCTCCACGGCCTCAAATTCCGAGCTCACAGCCTTACACCCGGCAGGTTTCGCTGGGTCTCTACGGATAGCGCGCAACGCTGGCTAGATTCGACAAGGAAGCTTAAGGGTGGGTTTCCAGATCGATTAATGATGATGAGGATGCAGAATTCATGAACATGACGGTGTTGGCAACGAACATGATGACCGCAATGGGATGACTGTGATGATAGCCGAACAGGTTTATTGTGATAGATGGTCAGAAGATGGCGATGCAAACACTAGTAGTGACATGATGGCGGCTGGTGGCGATTATGATGGTGATGGTGGTGATGATGATGATGATGATGATGATGACGACGATGTTGATGATGACTACAGTGATGATGATTATAATGATGATGTTGTTGGTGATGGTGATGATAATGATGATGATGATGATGGTGATGATGGTGATGATGATGATGATGAGGATGACGATGACGATGATGACGATGACGATGATGATGATGATTATGATGACGATGATGATGACGATGACGATGATGATGACGATGACGATGATGGTGATGGTGATGGTGTTGTTGTTGGTGGTGATGATG